TGTATTATTATTTATATTATTATTTCTATTATTTATTAATTCAACATTACATCAATAAATAAATACATGATATATAATAAATTGAATACAAATTTTAAATTTCCAATAAATAAGTTGATATTATCGATGTTTCCACAAAAAGCAAACTTTTTGGTTGCACCTAGGTTTTTTTTGTAGTTGAATTAAATAATAGCTATTTTTTTATTTTAAATGCGTTTTTAATAATTTATTTTTCTATCAAATCCTAGCTCTAGTTATAAACGTATGGCCAATATTGACTAAAGCCGGTACTGATTATGCCATAAATAGTTGAAGTATATTAAAATATTATTATAGATAACGTGTTACCTGTTTATAATTAAACATATATGTTAGGTTAAAATGGGTTGTATAATAATTTTAAACCAGTTCAATCACGAATTTTTTTTTTTATTTCGCATATTCTATATCGTATTTTTTGTGGACAATATTTTCAAAAATTATATGATGAGATTTTCATCAAATGGTTCAAAATAATAACTAACCCATCACTCTTCACTGGAGCTCAAACCTAAATATTGGTTTGGCCGAGATGAATATAGTTTTAAAATAAACAATAAGCATTCGTTATTCGATAGCTAAAATGTATGAATTTTAATTGTATATTAATGTAGTAACTAGAAAATATTTTTTGTCTATAAGTATATTTTTTTAAATAATTATTTACCCACTACTTCCTTGAAAATCTTGTTTTGTAACACCTACTTAACTATTTTAGCTCTAAACCACTTCCAAATTTCAAGTTTATGGTATCTGTTATGGCTATTAAGATATTGTATATTATACAATATTATATTATTGTGAGTGACTATACGTCAACTTATTTGTGCTGTACCAAATAAGAATATATTAGATACCTTATATTATCTAAAATATTAAATTTACTTAGAGAATCAGTGTTTATTTGGAAGAATCTATCTGTATACACTATAATAATATAATTATAACAAACCTAATGAAGGTAATTTCTGTGAAATCTGTTTTAAAGATTTTATAAGCGAGTAATATATTTATTTTAAATACTTACCGTTCGCCGACGTTTTTGGCTCGCATTATGTGTTTTAACGCGTTGACGGAAATGTCTAGAAAATACTCTCTACCGAAATCTTTTAGCTTTTTCTTATGTTTTCGGCGCCGATCCATTTCTGTATTAGAAAATACCTATTTATCAATAATTGCATGTCAATATGTTTTTATAAACGTGTATTTCAATATATTATTATTGTATCAAAAACAAAAACAAAAAAACAATGTGCCACGGAGAGCTTTCAGAAGACAAGTAAATATTTCAAAATATATTTTGTGTTCAATATTAAAATTAAATAACAAATCATTTAAATTATTTTCCGGTGGAGTATAATATAATAGTACTTAACTGAAATGCATTTAAAAAATACCTTGGCGATACACAATAGTGTGTTTGTTTTCCACTTGCACTGTTATTGGCGAGTAAATACCTATTACTGAGGAGACTAGTAGTATATATTTGTATGTTCACAGCCAGCTTTTCCAGGGAAAAAAGAAAAGTTCAACGGGGGAATGTCCGCTTGGAGCACTCAGATTTACCGTGTAACACATTTCACACTGATTGTCTACCAAATTTCGTCTCACGCAAAAAAATATTTAATATTTTTTTCTTTTTTACTCGTGTTGGTTACACTGTTTTTTTTTATCTAAAATTTGATAAACAAATTTACAATAATTTTTAAAGTTGATTATTTTTTTATTATATTCAGTTCATAGAAAAAAGATTAATGATTCAGTTACTAATGATCTATCGTTCAATCAAGTTGTGTCTCAATTTTCTTTATTTTCTCAAAGTTTTATTAAATTGTATAAGTTATTTAATTTCTTCAAAAATGAATTTTTAAAAATGCACAAACGATATCCAGTCATTGGTCGATCAAATACGATTCAATTCAACGCCAGCGTATCCAGAATTCTCTACATTTGTATCGAGGTTACGAAATTTTAAAAGTTTCCCTTCAAATACCGGACAATATGTTGTAATATGTTTTTATAAACGTGTATTTCAATATATTATTATTGTATCAAAAACAAAAACAAAAAACAATGTGCCAATGTGCCACGGAGAGCTTTCAGAAGACAAGTAAATATTTCAAAATATATTTTGTGTTCAATATTAAAATTAAATAACAAATCATTTAAATTATTTTCCGGTGGAGTATAATATAATAGTACTTAACTGAAATGCATTTAAAAAATACCTTTTCAATACACTATAGTGTGTTTGTTTTCCACTTGCACTGTTATTGGCGAGTAAATGCCTATTACAGAGGAGACTGTGTCAAAAAGGTTTTCAAAGTGTACAACTTTATAGTGCAGGTAAGTATATCGTGAACGAGTGTAGGTACCTACATTTCCGTCTTGTTTCGAGCCCTTGTCCGACGATGATGTGTTTCTTTTACTGTCATTTGTCTGTCAAACTAAAAATACACAAACTTAAATTGTATTATAATATTATTTCGTAAATGCTTGTCACATATTGTATGGTGATTAGGTCTAATGCCGTTTTGGTATAATGCACCATGGTTTACCAAGTGATAATTATACGATAATGTTATAATATTTAATGTTAATATAATGGTAGAGTAAAACGTTTTATAAATATTTATTTTTTTAGCACAACGCACTTTTGTTAAACTATTGTTCTATCATAGTATTGGAGCTTTTATACTTTGGTAAATTCTATAATTTTAATATTTTAGATACGATACGAAATTGATGTGTCTACAGCTGAGAAAATGTAATATAAAAATATTTTAAGTAAGGTATATTTGTATTTGCTCACCTATATTGTTTCTATAACGATTTTTCCAATCAATATTACATTATAAAATAATATTATTATATTTTTGAAGATTTTAAAATCAGAATTTCAAGAATTTTTCTCAGCTTAGATCAGTTTTAGTGCCATAAAGAAAATGCCAATCAAAACAAAGGTAACAGTCAACAGACAAGGAAAATATTCTGGAATTAGGATGGTAATCTCAAATATTTAATTATAAATCTACATACTTAATATATTTTAAATAAAAATAAAAATCTGTAACTATTTACATCAATATTTGTATAGGTTTGGAAAAATAGACCAATATTTATGGAAACTAGTTCCGAATGGCATAGTAAAAACCAAAAATCGAAATGGCGTGACACAATTAGGTTCGGAAATGAAAAAAAAATATTTTCGAGAGATTATGATACAAATGAAAGAAATGATGGTAAATCATATATATATATATATCAATTTTGTTATGATCATAATTATATATACTGTATACTTTAACACTTACCCATATTATGTAATATGAATATATATTTTACGCTCAAACATTTATTATTGTAGAAACCAGCAAGAGACTTTGGATTGAAATTGGTGTTAAAAAACATATTGAGTCCGGAAAATGCAAATAAATCTGTCCTAAAGCATCCCGTCGTTGCCGAAAGGCTAAAGGCAGAAAGATTACTTGAAATCAACAAGGAAGAGGTAAGATAATACTTATAGTATTGTCAGTTGTTTTTGAATGTATATTGAAATGAATTATTGTACAATAAAAGCCGAAAAAACACTATTTAGGCCGTATGTCAAAGAATTTGAAAAAATTCATTGCAAAAATATTCCGTCAGAAGTTGAACAAATGGGTATAATATTCAGGGAACTGAAATTCGGAGAAAGTTGTGTTTTCGATTATCATAAACACGGGAGAAATTTAAAACGAAAAATGAACGAACATACCAAAAAAATCGGACTACACCTGCCACGATCACACTTACAAAGGAAATTAAACGACGATCACTTAAACACAATTACTAAGATGAATATAAACAACCTTCAAGTAAGTTATCCCGTTAAATTAATAATAGCAACGTTTATATTATTGTTGCTCTAACAATATGATTGATCGTGAACAGGATAGGCTTACAAACCAGAGTCTTAATGGAGATAATATGGTCATACATTGTTCGCTATGAAAATATTGTCCACCAATTTTCAATTTGAATAATTTTTAATTTTTACTTTTGAACCTTATATAGTTATATAATAGTTGAATAATAGTATAAGCGTACATTAATTTTAATATTCTAGTGCGTTTTAAGTATAACAGTGCGATTCACCAAAAAAATCCTTAAATAATAAATTTATCAGAATTTTTGTTTTTAATTTGTATGTAGGTATATTAATAAATAATAGATGTTTAGAAATACTTAGATTTTTTTAAAAGTACCATATAGGAATCTCCTATGGCTATAGGTAAAACTTCTTGTTTATCAAACAACAGAAACTTTTTTTCACGATGCATCAAAAATAAATTCGAAAGAGTAGTTTTTGAGATACCTACTAAACTTTTCGTAGGTATACTATGAATATAAAATATAGAATAGGTACCGGTACCTATTAGGTACAAGAATATATTTAGTTTATTTTACCTATAAGTGCTTTTTAAACTTGGACAATTTTTCCAAATTACAATATTATGTTAATATATTAATATCATTAAATTATTAAAAATTTTAAATCATAGGCCTCGTATCTTTTAAACCTATTATAATAGAACAAATAAATCTTTATTTACAGATATGAATTAGGTATTAAAAAATAAAATTATATAAAATATGTCGCTTGAATATAATAAAGTTAACTTTTCTATTAAATGTTATGGTTTAAATTATATTTTATAGTATTAAATACATAGCTGCTGCTTGCAGGTATAATATTTATTCAAATGTTAAACGCTAAAGAAAAATTATGGAGTGATCTACTGATCTATCGGATATCATCATGACCAACAACTTTTGTTATTAATTCTGCTGTCATAAGCCACTATAGTGTCGTAACTCCATATTTGTAAATATCTAGTTTTGGATGTCCATCGATGGATATTTTAATTCATTAACGATTTCCTAAAAAAAATAATGGTTACAGATAGATTTAAAAATAACAAAGAACCCCGTGGGTATGTCTGCGTGTACATTAAATTATTTAGATAAGAAGCAAATTTGCACCGAATGTCCAAATACTAGAACAAAAAGTCGTATGTGATCTGAAGTTACTTCTTTTCTTCCTAGTAATTTTTTTACGACATAGTCATAGCTTATGACAGCAGAACTATATATTTATGTATAAAATGTATATTACCAACCCAACGGTTTTTTTGATGACTGCAGGACCTCAAAATCTTCCATGAAATGGCCAGAAAACTAATGAAATAACCCTATCACGGCCGTTTTTAGACTTCGAGAGCGGAATGAACGCACATCCATTTACGTACGTGTCTCCAGGCCCCCCACATTAAAATTTTCCAATTTTTTTTTGGCAAATAATTAGCATGCAATTAGCATGTATTTATATTTTATATGCTAAATTTTTGTAATTTGCATGCGTTTTATTTAGGCGTGGTATCAAAAAATAGGTGGGGGGCTGTAAACACGTGTCTCCGACACCCCTTCACATCACAAAAATTCATTTTCAAATTTTTTTTACGCCAATATTTACCATGTAATTATCATGAATTTGCACGACAGACCCCGAAACTCTATCGTAATCCGTTGCTCTACAATATTAATTTTTCTGATTTGCACGTGTCCCCAGCCCCCCCACTTTGGGAAATACTTGGAAATTCAAAATCGTTTCTACGCCAATATTTAGCATGAATTTGCACGATAGACCCTGAAATTCGCACGTGTCTGGTACGCGAGAAAAACCCGTTTTTTTCGCGCGTCTCGCCAGCATAGCCCAAAATGGAAATTTTGCGAAAATCAAAAAACTATATTAAGCTATATTTAGCACGTAATTCGCACGTATTCCCAAGCCTGGTTTGAAATTCGCACGACCCTCCTTCCCCCCCGAAAAATCAAAATTCATAGGTGGGAGGGGAGACAGCAATACGTCGTATATTAAATATAAATTTTTTAATGAAAATACATTTTAATTCGAATAAGCTTTTTTTGTTAATTTTATATTTTTATTCATATTACATTTAATCAAATTAATTTTTTTATTACATACAGTATTTTATATTGAACTATGATTTTTTATTGAAATTTTTTATAATAAATATCAAATATAGATCGTGTTATTGTGCCAGTTTTTATGTCCAATAATATAAAACTTATTTGAATAAAAAAGCTAAGTTTAATAGAAGAAAATCAATATTTTATAAAAAAAATTGAATTTTAATATAAATGCAATTTGAATAAAAAAAATAAAATTAATAAATAAAAAAAATTAAAAATCCCAAGTCATTAAAACAAATCTATATATAAAAAAAAAATGTTTAAAAAATATTGATTTTCTTCTATTAAACTTAGCATTTTTATTCAAATAAGATTTATATTATTGGACATAAAAAAATGGCATCCTGACACGATCTATATTTGATATTTATTAAAAAAATTTCAATATAATATACTTTATGTAATAAAAAAAAAGCGGTAAAGTTTATGTCGCTCTGCTGCACAGTAGGTTACAAGTTGGTAACTGTATAATGGGTTGTTTTAAATTTGAATTCAATGATATCATATCATTGTATACGAAAATGTGAGTGCCTTTGTACTCATGAATGATGTGTAAACATCTTAGCTGTAGTACGACTTTGACTGGGGAATATAATGTCATGGTTTGAGTGGGAATTTGTATAATACATATTATACGATACAAACACGGTTTCGCGCGTATACGTAAAGAGAATAATAAATAATATTAATAATAATAATGAATCGGCCGACGACTGTACCAGAGCGCGTTCGCACCTACCAGACTCGTGAAAATAACAAAGAAAATAATAGATAAGCAACTCGCCTGCTTTATTGGTTCTGCGATTTTTAGCCGGGGCTATACACGGCGTATTCGCATCGTTTTCCGTCGAATTAAAAACGTATTGGTTTAAATCGGAGCAGCTATACACGACGGGCGTAATACGCCGCGTTTTCCGCCGCGGTGGAAAACGCAAGCCAAACGGCATTTTCTGCCACCCCGAAAAACGCGGCGTATTACTTCCGTCGTGTATAGCTGCTCCGATTTAAACCAATGCGTTTTTAATTCGACGGAAAACGCCGCAGAAAACGATGCGGAATATGCCGTGCTATGGCGATGACACACACACACACACTCAAGCAGTCACATATAGATGACTTACGCCTGACGCTCGATTCACCAAGAAGGTCGTACTACAAACCGATAGCATAGATGTTTACACATCAAAAATTAATTTGATTAAATGTAATATGAATAAAAATATAAAATTAACAAAAAAAGCTTATTCGAATAAAAATGTATTTTCATTAAAAAAATTTATATTTAATATACGAAGTATTGCTGCCTCCCTCCCACCTATGAATTTTTGATTTTTCAGGGGGAAGGAGGGTCGTGTGAATTTCAAAACCAGGCTTGGGAAAACGTGCGAATTGCGTGCTAAATATATAGCTTAATATAGTTTTTTGATTTTCGCAAAATTTCCATTTTGGGCTATGCTGGCGAGACGCGCAAAAAAAACGGGTTTTTCTCGCGTACCAGACACGTTCGAATTTCAAAGTCTATCGTGCAAATTTATGCTAAATATTGGCGTAGAAACGATTTTGAATTTCCAAGTATTTCTCAAAGTGGGGTGGCTGGGGACACGTGCAAATCAGAAAAATGAGTCTTGAGAAGCAACGGATTACGATAGAGTTGCTGGGTTTGTCGTGAAAATTCATGCTAATTGCATGCTAATTATTGGCGTAGAAACGATTTTGAATTTCCAAGTATTTCCCAAAGTGGGGGGGCTGGGAGTAGGCTCCTCCCCCTTTTGATTTTCAAATGGTAACCTATACTAAAAATTTCATAATTTAATAAAACTATGTTTTTCATTAATTATTATGTTCAAATTTTCATTTTTCGTTGATGAGATATTGCTCTTCAAAGTTAGGTGGTTTTTGGAGATAGTTATGGTGCGTAAATGTGTTATGCCTAGTCAGTAGATACCGCAACTATCAGGATTTTTATGTCCTAGGGCAAAAGATATCACACTTTTCAAATCAGTTCATAAAGTACTTAGAGCCCCTAAATGTATTTTATTATGCCCATCTTTCAGGGAGTCATGAAGTTCACCCCACGAAGGTGATTGCGGCACTGGTCAGTGGTCGTAATACTTATTATCAATTATAAAGACCAGAAGTTACAAGTAACAAATTCGATATCGTTCGACCCAAGATATAGCAGTGATAATCTTTGTACCTGATAGCCGATAATACCTACATACAATAACAAACGATCATATTATTATTGGTCTGCTTCTGTTTGTAGCTTCGATCACGATTTAATCTCTATTCTATGCATCGACACACCATAGAATAACATACGGAAATACAGAATTATTTTAGTCCATAAAAGTTAATGTTGTCCATGGTTTATCATTACAACCGTCTATCATAATGAAAATACAGTGTCACCAACATGTGTATTTACAAAATAAATAGTAACAGTAACTTGCTGTTTATTTATGTCACAAATAAAATCCCGTTTTTGTTACTCTAGTTAACTGTTAACTGTTTTAAATCACTGCTGTAGTGTACAGTAATTTATTGTCTGTTGTCTGTTACTCGTTACTGACTATTATAATTTATAGCATGGTGCATAAATATACAATATATGATATAATAACCATATTTAA